CATAGTCGATCTGATTCCTCATAACATGCAATGATATCATACTACTTGCAAAACATGCGAAATTTGTGGCCCATGCAGCTTACCACGTTCTCTCATCAAATATAAAAAACAAAACTCTGGTTCTGTTTCAAGCAGTTCTTGGCCGCATCTTCTCAAACGCCAACTCACACTGCCTCTGAAATGGTATGGCGTCAAACTTACGCAAAACGAAGCATCCACTACTATGTGACAGTCTCCAACAACACAATCCAAACGTAAAATACGTCGTTTACGGTGTTTTGCGTACCCAAAAACACGCTCCAATAGAACACCCAAAGAGAGAACCCATTTTGCATACCAGCGAGGCGAGGAGTGGGCGGGTCCGTGGCGGGTCGCGGCCGGCAGGGCGAGGCGGGTTCACGGCGGTCGTGGTCAGGCGGGACCGCGGCGGGGAGCAGCCGGCGCGGCGAGGAGTGGGCGGTGGTTGGCTGGGCGGCGTTCTGCGTTGGACTTTTGCGTAGTTTGGGTCTGTGCAATTGGACGTAGGTCCAGTTTAGATGCAAAAAATTTTACAAAATTTTTCAAGATTTCCGTCACATTGAATCTTTGGACGCATGTATGAAACATTAAATATAAATAAAAAATAAAACTAATTACACAGTTTAGACGAAATCCACGAGACGAATCTTTTAAGCCTAATTAGATTATGATTGGACACTAATTGACTAAATAATAACGAAAACTGCTGCTATAGTATCATTTGTCAAAATTTTTGACATGTAGTGTCGGAGGACTAGAGGAGAGAGAATCCACACGCGGAGTCCAAACTGCAGGACCCAACACACCGGTCCCTTCCGAGGGTGCACGACAGAAGTCACCGCGGCGGCAGCATCACGGCAGTTCGACGCGACGCATGCAGAGGCGTAGCATCACGGGACGGGGCCGGCGACGGAGACCGGATAAAAATCTGGCGCTAAACGCCATGGGCGGGGGCGGCCGGAGCCGGGGCCGGGGCCGGGGCCGGGGCCAGCGCGCGCGTGCTAGGCCACTAGGCCAGCCAGCTCGAAGTGCGGCGCAGCAGTAGCCTAGTACTACTCCTGCGATCCTGGCGTCCTCCTGCGTGACTGCGTCCGGGGCCGGTGAGCCGGGAGCGACCGGTTGACACCCAGCGCAGCGACAGGCCGTGCCGCGGCGGACAACTTTCGAGCGGTGCGTGGTGGGTCGGGGCGGCGGGGCCGGTGCCGTGCCCCGGGAAGGGACAGCAAAGCGACTCGTGATCGCGACCGCTTGACGAATTCGTTGGGCGAGAGATTGGCAGCGACGGCGGCCGGGAAAAAGCTGCCTGGTACTGGGTAGTGATAATTGCCGTCACGGTCCAAGGTGCTGTTTGGTTCAAAAGGAGGCGTGGGAACGGTAATGCAATCAGCTACGGACGTTAACTGTTACATGGGAATCATAAGCGCTATTGTTTGGTTCACTCCGTGATTGCTTCCATTACCGGTACAGTCTGAAAAAATAGGCTCCAAAAAAAGGAAAAGAAGATGAACACAAGGGCACGAAACTCCCACGCCGCAGATTGACACCGCGCGAGAGGCCGCAGACCGACATCGCGGGAGATACGAGGTGCGGCGGCGGCGGCGCCGCGGGAGAGGCGTGGTGCGGCGGCAGCGCGGGAGAGGCGGGGCGTGGCGACAACACGGCAGAGGCGCGGCAGAGCACGCGACGACGAGGACAGCGAGCGGCGGCGGCTGATTTTTATCGGACTCGCGATTTCGGAACGGGAACGCATAGCGGTGGGAGGAGAGGGGCAACGGAGTTGTATTGGGCTGGATCCATTCACGCTGTGATCTGATACGGACCGGTCCATCCAAACGCCAAGCAACGGTACCTGTTCACGATGTTAATCATTGACGGGCTGAATTCGTGGAACCAAACAGCACCTAAGGATGAGGCGCGGGAGCGTCGGCTGGGCTTGGTATGGGCCTCACCTGGACATCGAAAAGGTGCATATGGGCTGGGCTATATGACCTTGCTGGACCCGGGGCCGAAATTCAGACAGGTTCACGAGAGAGCGGAGAATGGCGTTGAGACTCGAGAGGGACGGAAGAAATGTCAGGGCCCGCATTTCGGAAGGACCAAAGGAATCACGTCAAGAAAAAAAAAAAAGGAATAAGCCCAGTTCCGTTTCGGGGGAAAGGAAGCTATTGTGATGTGCAAAACACACAAAATAGAACATCAACTCTGAAAACTCAAACCCCTCAAAAAAAAAAAACTCTGAAAACTCAAAAGGAAAGAATCTTGCTCGCTCTCCCTCTCACCTCTGCTTGCTCAGTTGCTCACGTTCCTATTTCCTTGGCCCCTCTAGCCATGGCTTAGCTTGAGTCATATAGATAATTGTGTGAATGATCACAGATACAAATCAGCTGACAATTTGTCCAAGGACTAGAGCAGGATTGGACGAGCTGGTGTGCCCTGTGCTGTACAGACGATTTCAGAGCAGGATTGTAAGCCGAGTTCCTTCACTTCTAGCAAAGACCAAGGAAGAGATTCATACTTGGGCTATGGCAGGTGCGTGTTTGAGTGCTTTAAAAAAAACTTTGACCTGCGAGGGGCAAGCCATCTCCCGGACATTATATGTAAGAAGAAAGCCTTCTCACGCAGGCCGAGAAAACCCCCGAACCTCGGCCCCGGTCCGACACTGGAAGATGTAACCTGTGAGATGAGCCGTCTCCTTTAAACAAGTGCTTTGGCACCTGGGACCAGCGAGGGGATTTTTTTAACCCTCAGCCTGAAATTCGCTCCCATTGGGAGTCGAACTCACGACCTGAAGGGTGCCACCGGAGTGACTAGCATATCTTAGTCAACCAACTAGACTAGTCATCCTTTGGCGTTTGAGTGCTTTATGTCCAAATGTCTAATTTTTTAGCATTATATAACCTTTAAACTCTGTATCTAAAGTTCTGAACTCTTCTTAAATTGCGGAGTACTCCATTTTTTTATTAGATGTTGTATTATAGCTTTGTTCTAATTCAAATATTTGTATATCTTTGACCACTTATTTCAAAAAAATTATGTTTGGACTCTAGACTTTTTGGTCTGAATTTAATCATAGAGACAAAAACACTTTGTTTGATGGACTCTGGACATATCCCCTTGTTGCTATAGACCTTTTCCTTCTGTTTTTATAAAGTACTAAGCTATCCTATTTACATGCTATGGACCATGCACTACTAAAAAAAATTGTAGCAACGTCCCCCCCCTTTTTTAAGGGACGGCTCTATATTAAGCTGTCACTACAAATGGTGTCAAACGAGCCGTTCCTACAAATTCATTTGTAGGGGTTGCTGGTGTTATCAGCCGCTCCTATAAATAACTTGATTTGTAGGGACGGCTGGAGATTGAGCCACCCCTACAAATAGACGTTGAATAGTAAAAATTAAGCACACTATGTGGATCTCGGATGGAGAAATGACCAAAATAAAAGTTTTAGATCTCGAAAAGTTATGAAACTTTGTTGTTTACAACTTTTTCATTTGAAATGATTTACTGCTTCAAAATGTTGTTTGAAATTCAATTTTGAAATTGTTGAATAACACTGATTTCTCTTTTTAATCTCTGGCTAAAACTTATAAGTAGTATTTCTTCCTCGTACTAACTTCAAATTTGATGATTTTTTTCTTATAATCTTCTAAAATCACGCTCTATCAATTTATTATGTTCTTACAGCTATTATTTTGTCTATCTTTTTATGTGACTGTGTTTTATCTATTTGAATTTTGAATTTAAAAAAATAGCAACTTCAAACATTATTTTGAAACATTAAATGATTTCAGCTGAAAAAAATTATGAACATAAAAGTTGTAGAACTCATCAAGATCTCTAACTTTTATTTTAGTTATTTTTTCATCCGATAAAGTGATAGTAATATTGTTCATAAAATTTATATATCGCTCTTATAGTCCTTAAACTATAAGAGTGATATGTAAAACTTGTGAACAATGTTAATACTACTATATTGGATGATCAAATGATCAAAATAAAAGTTATAGATCTTGGAAAGTTATGGAACTTTGTAGTTGACAACTTTTTAATTTAAATTCATTTTATCAATGAAAACTACGTTTGAATTTCTCAAATTTGAAATTCAAAATTTTCAAACGACCTCGGATGTAGAAACTATCAAAATGAAAGTTGTAGATCTCGAAAAGTTATGAAACTTTGTAGTTCACAACTTTTTCATTTGAGATCATCTCGTCAAGGAGAACTATGTTTGAATTTCAAAAAAATTAAAATTTGAATTTTTTAAAGACCTTGGATGGACAAATAGCAAAAACAAAAGTTATAGACCTCAAAAAGTTATGAAACTTTGTAGTTGGCAACTTTTTGAGTTGAAATCATCTTCTCAAGGAAAACTACGTTTGAATTTCTTAAATTTGAAATTCAAATTTTGTAAACGACCTCGGATGTATAAACTACCAAAATAAAAATTGTAGATCTCAGAAATTTTATAAACGACCTCGTGAATTCGTTTAGGTCCTCAAATAATCAATTTATGCTCGGTTTAGGATTATACGTGGGGAACCAAAATACAATATAGACATAAGTGAGTATTGGGTTAGAGGAGGGAACGCGCGAGCTCGAGGTCATGGGTTCGAACCCCAACAACCGCGTAGCGCATGATTTTAAGCGAAGAAATGCGTGACTTACGGCTTGCGAGCGCGCGACGTGTGGCTGATCGGTGGGGGTCTGCCGGATAAAAAAAATCGTATTTTTTTGACCTGGATTCGTGAATTTCTGGAAAATGATTTGTAGCGGCGGCAAATAGTGAGCCCCTACAAATCGAATTTACCGGCATTTGTAGCCACCTTTTGGTAGGGACGGTTGGCCTTACAAATCATCAGGAGCCGCACCTACAAAGAATATATGTAGTGGTGATGGTTAGTCAGCCATTTTGTTGTGCACATTGTTCACCTTGTAACATGCTTATCTTACAAGAGCCTAAACTACCAACCATGTAAACTTTACAATGACTTGCGTCCTGACTCTAAGCCCATAGCAATTTTCTTTGCAATACCGAAAGACTCTGTAGTAACCGCCGAGCTGACCATAGAGGAAGCCTCTCCAAGCAAGCTGTCCAACTCTTCGGAATTCTCATGTGCCCATGGGTGCTGAATGACCTTCCTTAGCCTATCAAGCTTATCTGCCACCTCCTTCATTGATGGCCTATTCAAACCACTCGTCTCCAAGCACTGCCACGCTAACTTTGCAATCTCCTCGAGATAGTCCATGTTGTCATTGTTCTTGATTTGATCATCCAGGATATTCTCAAGCTTGTTTTCCTTCATCCCATATAGAAACCTCATCGCAAGACTCTTCTCGTGTTCAGGCCCTTCATGGTTGAATGCCTTCTTGCGTGTGAGCAACTCTAGGAGAACAACTCCAAAGCTACACACGACTCTTGTCTGTCAATTGGCATGTTTGCATGTACTCCGGGTCCAGGTACACACAAGTTCCTTGGACAAGTGTAACAAATTGTGATTTATCGTTTGGTGCTAGGATGGATGCACCAAAGTCGGAGACTTTGCTGTGTAGTTACCATCCAGGAGGATGTTGGTCGATTTGACATCACCGTGGATGATTGGTGGAGATGCACATGAATGGAGGTAAGCTAAGGCCTGTTCAGACTCATAGGCAATCCTCAAGCGAGTGCCCAAGGAGATGTGTTGGCCATGGTTGCCATGGATGAGATCGAACAGCGTACCATTTGGGATGAACTCGTATACTAGCATGAGCACTTCAACTTCAAGGCAGCAGCCGAGGATCTTGACAATGTTCTTGTGATTGATTTGGGATAGGTTTAGCATTTCCTTGCCGAATTCTTTCATTTGTCGCTCATCAATTGTCATGCATCTTTTCACGGCTACTTTAGCATCGCTCTTCAAAACTCCCTTATAGACTTTTCCATGGCCTCCATGACCAATGACATGCTGTTCATCAAACCTGTTCGTGGCTTGTTGTAGTTCTTCTTCGGAGAAGATTTTGAATGCAACACCTTGTTGTGATTTCATCTCCTCAAATAGCAGCAGACCACCATGTTGTCGAAAATACATCTGTTTGATCCGGTGTAGCTTTCGCCTTTCTCGGATCAAATATGCACAAGTAATGGCAATCACAAGAACGACAAGTCCAACACTTCCACGTACCTGCACAATTATTCAAAATGATCACCTTGGCTTACCCTTGCTCAGCAGTCAGCACTAAATAAAAATGCCACAGATCCCATCAGAGGTGAACGCAGGGCACATAAAAAAAATACAAGTGCATGCAAACTTCCTCGAAACCTACCAACAACTGGCGCCATCCAAACTGACTTCTGCTTTTTTATGCAAACGCCATTGATCAAACTTTTTCCCGGCGAGCATGAACAATTATAACCCCCCACTGTATTTTTGCATATTCCAGGGTAAGGGTAAGTAACATTGTCCTGGCACTCATCAATATCTGAAACAACACCAAAATGCTTTGTAAAATCTCTGCGTGAGCACTTGAAATAAAAGAACAACAACTGGATAATAAAAGAATAATAATGGAGCTGAAGTGGAACCTGTGCATCCGCCTGCGATGTATGGATTGCCTTTGAATCCCCTGGAGCAGCGCACTTGCATAGATAGCCTGCCTCATTCGTGATACACTCGCTATAGTTGCTAACACACGCGTAGGGCACGGTCTTGTCACTTTTGGCAGCTTCACATGTCTTCTGCGTAATCCCCCATTCCATCACGACAGGAGACCTTGAGTCGTCTCTGTCGTAGAACACTGGAGAGGTGAGATAAGTGGTGCTGAAGCTGAAGGCTGCTCTCTCCATGACAGTTATATAATTGCAAGGGGTGTTCCTCCATATCGCAGTCGTGTTGTATAACGAGTTGAAAAAGCCTTGGTAAACCCGCACGCCCTTCGGGAGGTCCACCTGGCAGCACCCAGCACCAGCAGTACCAGAGCATGAGCCGTTCTTGGGTGGTATGTTGACGTCGCATGTCGCCAAGCAGCCGATGATGTACTGCAAGTGTTGCACAGCGGTGCTATATGTCGATCTCAGCTTGCTGCGAGTTCATTCATAATTTCATATATATATGTGGACAGGATCGGAGAGTTGGCAGAACGTCATCAGCAATACTTACGGAGTCGCTGCGTATGTAGGCGAAACTATTACACCCGAGGACGATAATTTTGTTATGGTCTGCCGATAGCACATAGGGCGAGCCAGTGATGTTCATCCACGCGTAGTTGCCGTACAACGTCCCGCTGGTGGTTTGGTTGTGTTAGAATTGATCTCATCCGTCTTGACCCAACGGTCGAGACGGATCCCTTGACCGCGTCCTGATCGGGGACGTCCAGCCATCTAGTGACCGGTGGGCCCCTGTCGCACAGTGCCTATAAAGAGGAGGTGCGGCAAACGGCTCAGAATACGAGGTTCACCGCCGCCACAGCCCCACTGTCCTAACCCTAATCCGATCCAGAGGGTGGCACTGCCAGCGGCGGGAAGCACCACCGGACCGCCGTAGCTCCACCCCGCCGGGACTCCGCCACCTCTACACCGTCACTGCCACACTGCCACTGACACCGACGCCATGGACTCCTCGAGCTCGTCCACCAAGCCCGACGGTCTGTACCTCTCTCTTTCTCCTCTCTCACTCTCTTTGGATCCATGTGTTCTAGTTCTTTCATAACGAATGAAAGTTAAAATACCCACTGATCTACTCCTAGTCGATCCAAAAGTGTTAACAATGGTATCAGAGCCGATTTGCAAGGTGTAGATCACGGCACTGGGTAAAGAAAAGAAAAGAACGGAGCTAGATCCGATTCGGATCGAAAGAAAAGAAATACAAAGGGTTCATCGAACCCTAAACCCTAATCGGGTGAAGAAACGGGGAAAGAAGGGGTTTCAATTTCGAAAAGTATTCGAACCCTAACCCTAACCCGCGTGGGGAAGAAGAACAGACTCTAACCCTAGCTGGGTGAAGACGGAAGGGGCTCGGCTTCAAGACCGCTTGATCCGAACCCTAAACCCATAACCAGATCTCGGGGCAAAGAAAAGAAGAAAGAAAAGAAAGAGAAACGAACTTCGGTTCGGAGAAAATGAAACCCTAACCCTAAATGAACACAGAGAGAAGGACGGATTGGAAGAGGTTTTCTCCTACCTGGGGATCCCCTGCGCCGTCACCACCGCCTGCCGTCGCACTGGACGCCGACCGGGGAAGTGGAACACCGCCGACCGTCGTGGTCACGCCGCCGCGCGGCCACGTCTCGGGCTCAGCGGTAAAGGGCACCACCACAAAGCCGCTCGACGGCGGCGCGCTCAGCCTTGGGCGAGCACGCGCGCCGGCGAGGGGCCCCATGGCGGCGCCGCCATCTCTCCTCCGATCGCCATGGGCGGCTACCTCTTGCTCGATGCGGGGCTAGAACAGAGGAGAAAGGGAGGGAGATAGATAGGCTGGCCGGCCGGAGACTCGCAGCGGAGGTGGCGGCGCCACCTCCTCGCAGTTGTCGGCGACCACTGCCACCTTTTTTCCTCCGCCGCAGCCGCTCTATTCGGTGGAGAGAGAGGAAAGGAAGAAGAGAATGGACTAGGGTTTGGGGAGGGGCGACCGACAGGCAGGGTTTTGATCCCGCGGAAGTCACGCATGGTCGTCCGATCAAAATGAATGGCCACGATTCGCCAGGCTGAATGAGGCCCAAAGGGAAGGCAATTCCGGCCCACGGGGAGAGCAACAGACGCTGGGTGCTAGGAGCTAGGTCAAGACGCGTAAGCAGCAGCCTTCTAGGCTTCGAAAAGCAGCTTCTTCGTCTTATCGGGCCGGGCCGGCGGAAGAATAGTAAATGATGTTTTGAAGTCTATTTATTTTCAGAAGCATATTTGAATGAATTTTGATCAATTTGAAGGTTTAAATTTATGGTAAAATTGCACCAACGTGTTAGATTTTTCAGAGAGTAGAAAAGTAGAGTAAAATGCTTCTGAAAAGTATATAAAGAAATTTTATCAAGTTTCCGCTGCAAAGTTAAAGATGTTGTCTTCTTATTAAATTCGAACCAACGAGAGAATTTAATTTGAAGAGCAGTTATAGTTATTCAGTAAATGATAAAAAGCTTATCCTCCAGTTAAAATTGGAACCAACTGAAAAAAATTTAATTGGAGGAATAGTCGGTTGATAGTTAAGATAAATTATAATATTGTTATTTTCTGACCAACGTTGATGATAACAATATTATAAGTTTATTTATGAGTTTAAGTTTAAAGTTAAATTATGGTATTGTTATTTTCTGATCAACGTTGATGATAACAATATTATAATTTTATGAGTTTTATGTTTAAAGTTTAAATCTCTGATGAATTTTGCATCAAAGTGACTAATTTTTCAGAGAAAAGATAAAGATCAATGAATGCTCTTAAACTAGAGAAATGTATTTTTATATTTCCGCTGCAATGAAGTTGATTGTCTTCTAATTAAATTCGAACCAATGGGAGAATTTAATTTTGAGGAGCAGTTCTATGTTTTCAAGATTATTGAATTTCTATACGTTAATTCCATTTCTGCCCAACGGTGACGTGGAATTAATATAGAAGAATGATGTTTTATTCTATTTCTGCCTAACGGTGATATAGAATAGAACATAAAGATTTCAAAGTTTAATGAGCATTATTGTTGAATATTTTTTCAGACAAAAGACTTCCATGTTTTCATTCTTGAAGGCAGTAAGAGAAATGAGCTGGGTACTTGTGACTCAGATGATAAAATACCTAAGGGCAAGTTATGTATGAAAAAATGCCATTGCTTAAGGGACAATGTTCTCTTTTAAAGAATGGCTTCAAAAGAAAATCATTCTAGGATATTGATCCAAGAAATAAGATAGATCAATGAGAGTCCTCATTGAGAAATGTCTTTTATGTACTTTCTGTGAAGAAGAATTTATTTCAGTTTCACTTATGAGAGTAGTAAAAGTCACATGCATGTTTAATTTGACCAATGTCAGATTAAGCATGTGTATTAAAGAGTATTCAGATTTATTTCTGAATTTGATGATTGAACACGAGTCAATCCTGGCAATTATATTCATTCAAGGGAATTATCTCGCATGGCGGGAAAAGTTTGTGATAGTACCCGCATGGCGGGAAAAGTTTGAGAAAATACCTGCATGGCGGGGTAAAGTTGGCATAGTACATATGTTAACCAATCCTGCATGGCGGGAGAGTTTGTCATAGTACTTATCCCGTATGGCGGGAGAAGGATATGATGACTCATGTGCTCTCAGTGTATTTCGCACTTGGAAAGAAGTTTGGGGTAGCTCTTATGCTATCCTAGAATTGACCGTACACTCTGATTGTGTCATGGTCATTAAGTACTCAATGAGTTTAAGAATAAAAGAAAGTTGCATGTGAACCAAAAGATAAGAATGATCTGCAAGCGTGACTTGCAGAAGTATTGATAATAATAGACTATGTTGAGTTTTGAAGTGTAATGAGAAAAATGTACTCCCATATGAATTTTGTTTGCATGATGTAATCATGTGGATGAAGTAAGTAATCAAAGTTTCCTCATTCACAAGAGTTCTGAATGTTTCGAAATTGTGGTAGAAAAGTTCATACCATATTTCGAGGGGGAGAAATGTAAGATTAATTAAGAAAGACAATTAAGAAAGATACTTCCCCATACTTCAGATAATGCAATGCATACTATGCATTGAAGGTAAAAGTGATCTATAAAAGATGAATGTAATCGTTGAGGGAGTAAGACGGTCATAATAACGATACCCCTAAAGTAAAGAAATAGCTAAATTCTTAGACCTTTTACAGTTCCAATAGGAAGATAGCATAGTCGGCTAGTATTCGTACTGGATGAGTTCAGAGTTATCAAGGCGGTGCTTAAAGCCCCATTCAAGTTTTGACAGATTAAACCCAAAATAAGAAATTTGAAGATACACCATCTTTAAAGAAGATGGAGTAATCTGGGGGAGCATGGTATGTAGATACCTAAGGCTTGAATAGAAGTGGGATTACATATCCACTACAGTGTTTAGAGCAACAAATTGCTTAATACATGTTGATGTTGTATGACATATACAACACCTGATGTTAGCTCTTAAAGAAGATGAATAAGTAAGCAAGGATCTTGTGATACAGGAGGCTATAGAACATTTGCCTTTTGGCAATAAAGAGCAACAATAGCCCCATATGAAAGAAGTGCCACGAGACCCCAGAAGGTCTCAAAGAATAAGAAAGAAATTCAAATGGAGGATAATTCCACCTCATTTGAAAAGCCATGAGAGGCGTTCACTCGTCTAAATGGCAAGAAGCAAAGTAAGATGAAATGAAATCGATAAATACCAACGATGTTTGGGACTTAGAAGAAATTCTCAATGGAGCCAAAATAGTAGACTGTAATGGGTCTACAAGACAAAGGTGACTCCAAAGGGAATATAGAAAGATATCAAAAGGGAATATTGAAAGCTACAAAGCGCCACTTGTGGTGAAATGATTTACACAAAGAGAAGGAATAGATTATAATAAGCATGCAAGGATTCTTTTAGAATCATAATGGTGTTAGTGGCACATTACGATTTACAGTTACATCAAAAAGATGTAAAGACACATTCCTCAACGGGGATTTGTATGGAAAAGTTTACATGGCATAACTCAAAAGGTTTTGTCGTGGAAGGAAAAGAATATAAGAAATATTGTCTGAAGAAATCCATTTATGGATTAAAGCAAGCTTCAAGACATTGGTACTTGAAGTTTGACAGTACAATAAGAAAGTTTGGGTTTTAAAGAGAATGTAGAGGACAATTGTATTTATGCAAAGTTTTAAACAT